ATGCTATAATTGTATTGTTGTACTATGCAGTATATATTTTGGTATAAAAATATAAATAGAATTTTGCTCGTCAGTAAAGTAGGAATTTCACATTTTGTTTTAGTTTGCTCGTCAGTAGAGTCCCTTTGTTCTTTTTATTTCAGTTTGTTCGTCAGTAGAGTCTCTTTTTGTCTTTTTTCATTTCAGTTTAATCTTTGGTAGAGTCCCCTTTTCTTTCATTTTTTTATTTTGCTTGTCAGTAGAGTTCTTTTGTTCTTTTTTATTTTAGTTTGCTCGTCAGTACAGTCCAATTTATCTTTAGTAATTTATTAATTGATGCTAACAGAGTCCCTTTTCTCTTTTAATTTCAGCTTTCTCGTCGGTAGAGTCCCTTTTTGCTTTTAAATTGTCAGTAGAGTTCTTTTTCATCTGTATTATTTCTGTTTATTCTTTCTTTTTCAGTTTTCAGTCAGTAGAGTCCTTTTCCTCATTTATTTCAATCTGCTAGTCAGTAGAGTCTCTTCTTCTTTTATATTTTTAATTTCGCTCGTCAGTAGAGTTCTTTTTCATTTCAGTTTAGGTCAGTAGAGTTCCTTTTTGTCTTTTTATTTTAATTTGCTCGTCAGTAGAGTCTCTTTTCCTACTTTATTTCATTTTACTCTTCAGTAGAGTCCCCTTTCCTTTCATTTTTTGAATTCCACTCGTCAGTAGAGTTCTTTTTCATTTCAGTTTAGGTCAGTTGAGTTCGTTTTTGTCCTTTTATTTTAATTTGCTCGCCAGTAGAGTCCCTTTTTCTACTTTATTTCGGTTTGCTCGTCATTAGTCTCCTTTTCTTTAATTTTTTGAATTTCGCTCGTCAGTAGAGTTCTTTTTCATTTCAGTTTAGGTCAGTAGAGTTCCTTTTTGTCCTTTTATTTTAATTTGCTCGTAAGTAGAGTCCCTTTTGTCTTTTTATTTTAATTTGCTCGTCAGTAGAGTCCCCTTTTCTTTCATTTTTTGAATTCCACTCGTCAGTAGAGTTCTTTTTCATTTCAGTTTAGGTTAGTAGAGTTCCTTTTTGTCTTTTTATTTTAATTTGCTCGTCAGTAGAGTCCTTTTTCCCATTTATTTCATTTTACTCGTCGGTAGAGTCCCCTTTCCTTTCATTTTTTGAATTCCACTCGTCAGTAGAGTTCCCTTTTCTTTCATTTTTTGAATTCCACTCGTCAGTAGAGTTCTTTTTCATTTCAGTTTAGGTTAGTAGAGTTCCTTTTTGTCTTTTTATTTTAATTTGCTCGTCAGTAGAGTCCTTTTTCCCATTTATTTCATTTACTCGTCGGTAGAGTTCCCTTTTCTTTCATTTTTTGAATTCCACTCGTCAGTAGAGTTCTTTTTCATTTCAGTTTAGGTTAGTAGAGTTCCTTTTTGTCTTTTTATTTTAATTTGCTCGTCAGTAGAGTCCTTTTTCCCATTTATTTCATTTTACTCGTCGGTAGAGTTCCCTTTTCTTTCATTTTTTGAATTCCACTCGTCAGTAGAGTTCTTTTTCATTTCAGTTTAGGTTAGTAGAGTTCCTTTTTGTCTTTTTATTTTAATTTGCTCGTCAGTAGAGTCCTTTTTCCCATTTATTTCATTTTACTCGTCGGTAGAGTCCCCTTTCCTTTCATTTTTTTAATTCCACTCGTCAGTAGAGTTCTTTTTCATTTCAGTTTAGGTCAGTAGAGTTCCTTTTTGTCCTTTTATTTTAATTTGCTCGTAAGTAGAGTCCCTTTTGTCTTTTTATTTTAATTTGCTCGTCAGTAGAGTCCCCTTTCCTTTCATTTTTTGAATTTCGCTCGTCAGTAGAGTTCTTTTTCATTTCAGTTTAGGTCAGTTAATTTCCTTTTTGTCTTTTTATTTTAATTTGCTCATCAGTAGAATCCCTTTTGTCTTTTTATTTCAGTTTGCTCGTCAGTAGAATCCTTTTCATTCTTTTTATTTCGGTTTGCTCGTCATTAGTCCCCTTTCCTTTTATTTTTTGAATTCCACTCGTCAGTAGAGTTCTTTTTCATTTCAGTTTAGGTCAGTAGAGTTCGTTTTTGTCTTTTTATTTTAATTTGCTCGTCAGAAGAGTCTCTTTTCCTACTTTATTTTATTTTACTCGTCGGTAGAGTCCCCTTTCCTTTTATTTTTTGAATTTCGCTCGTCAGTAGAGTTCTTTTTCATTTCGGTTTAGGTCAGTTAATTTCCTTTTTGTCTTTTTATTTTAATTTGCTCGTCAGTAGAGTCCCTTTTGTCTTTTTATTTCATTTTACTCTTCAGTAGAGTCATTTTGTTCTTTCGGTTTGCTCGTCAGTAGAGTCCCTTTTTCGTTTTTTTTTTAATTTCACTCGTTAGTAGAGTCCCCTTTTGTCCTTTTATTTCACTTTACTCTTTAGTAGAGTCCCTTTATTCTTTTTATTTCATTTTACTTTTTATTTCATTAGAGTCTTCTTTTCTTACATTTTTTGAATTTCGCTCGTCAGTAGAATTACTTTACATCTTCTTTTTTTAAATTTTATTTGTCAGTATATTAATTTTACTTTTTCTTTTCATTTTATATCAGTTGGTTCCTCAGTAGAGTCTCTTTATTTTTCTTTATTTCAATTTTCTTGTCAGTAGAGTCCCTTTTAATTTTTTTTCTCAACATTTAAATTAATTGTCATTTTTGTATTTGTAAGTAGAGTCCCTAAAGGTGGTTTTAGTTGAGTTTTATATAATATAATAATGTTATAGAATTTTCTCAATTTTGTTACTTTTTTGTAAAAAGACAAAAAGGGACTCTACTGACGAGCAAACTAAAATAAAAAAGACAAAAAAGGACTCTACTGACGAGTAAACTGAAATAGAAAAGAATAAAAGGACTCTACTGATGAGCGGAACGAAATAAAATGGCAAAAAGGGACTCTACTGACTAGCAGACTAAAATTAAAAATGATAAAGAGGACTCTACTGACGAGCAAATTGAAATATATATAAAAAAGGACTCGACTGACAAGCAAAATGAAATAAAAAAGAAGAAAAGGGACTCTACTGACTGGTAAAATTAAAAAAAAAAACTCTATTAAAAATCTAACAAATAAAACAGATTCTCCACTGACGAGCAAACTGAAGTAAAGACAAAAAGGGACTCTACTAACGAGCAAACTAAAATAAAAAGGACGAAAAGGGACTCTACTGACGAGCAAAATTAAAATAAAAAAAATCTACTGATGAGCAAATTTAAATAAAGTTTAAAAAGGGGCTTTACTGACGAGCAAAAATGAGAAAAAAGAGTGGCATTGTTGAGAAAGAAAAAGGGACTCTACTGAAGAACAAATTTATATAAATAAGACAAAAAGAGACTCTACTAACGAGCAAAATTAAAAAAAAGGAACTTTACTGACGAGCAAATTTGGGAAAAAAGTGAAGAAAAGGGCTCTAGTGAACACCAGCCTGAAATTAAAAGACAAAAAAAACTCTACTAACGAACAAATTGAAAAAAAATATAAAAAGGGACCCTACTGAC